ATTTTACCTACCTATCCTGTTGGAATACCAACGGCCCTCTGATCCTCGCTGCATTCCAGATTCCCATCATTCGTCACATCTTCAGTAATTACACTGAAAGTCTGCAGAGGGACAAAGATAGGTTAAGTCAATGGGCAAGGATCTGGCAGATGGAGTACAATGTTGGTAAATGCGAGGTCATCCATTTCCAACAAAATGGACTGTTATTTAAGTGGTGAAGATTTGAGGCATGCTGTTGTGCAGGGGAACCTAGATGTCCTTGTGCATGAATCACAAAACATTGGTTTGCAGGTGCAGCAGATAATTAAGAAGGCAAATAGAATATTGCCCTTCATTGCTAGAGGGATGGAGTTTAAACACAGGGAGGTTGTGCAGCAGCTGTACGGGATGCTGGTGAAGAAACACCTAGAGTACTTTATATGGTTTTGGGCTCACTTGAGAAAGGATGTACTCGCTCTGGAGGGGGTGCAGAGGAGGTTCACTAGGTTGATTCCGGAGTTGTGAGGGTTGGCTTATGAGGATAGATTGAGTAGATTGGGAATATGCTCACTGGAATTTAGAAGAGTGAAAGGTAGGGCGGCGGGGAATTTTATAGAAACATATAAAATTATGAAAAGAATAGTTAAGACTGAAGCAGGGAGGCTGTTTCTGCTGGCAGGTGAAACTAGAACTGAGGGCATAGCCTCAAAATAAGGGGGAGCAGATTTAGGACTGAGTTGAGGCTAGAAATAGGAGGATACTACAGCTCAACGCATGGCTAAACAGATGGTGTAGGAGGAAGGATTTCAGATATCTGGACCATTGGGATCTCCTCCAGGACAGGTGGGGCCTGTACAAGAAGGACGGGTTGCATCTAAGCTGGAGGGGCACAAATATTCTGGCTGTGAGGTTTGCTGATGTCACTCGGGAGGATTTAAACTAGCTTGGCAGGGGGTTGGGAACCAAAGCAAAGGTGAATTGACTGAAAGGGAACGAGAGAATAGGGCCAGTAAGACTCAGAGGAAGAGCAGGTAGGGTGTGGTTGCTGATCAAAGCAGGTCTGGTGGACTGAAGTGCATCTGTTTCAATGTAAGAAGTGTAACAGGTAAGGCAGATGAACTTAGAGCTTGGTTTACTACTTGGAACTACGATGTTGTTGCTATTATACAGAGACCTGGTTAAGGGATGGACAGGATCGACAGTTTAACGTTCCAGGATACAGATGTTTCAGGCAGGATAGAGGGGAATGTAAAAGGGGTGGGGGAGTTCCACTACTTGTTAAGGAGCAAATCGCAGCTGTACTGCGGGAGGACACCTTGGATGGCTCGTACAGCGAGGCAGTATGGGTAGAGCTCAGGAACAGGAAGGGTGCAGTCACAATGTTTGAGGTTTACTATAGGCCTTCCAACAGCCAGCGGGAGGTAGAAAAACAGATATATAGGCAGGTTTTGGCAAGATGTAAAAGTAACAGGGTTGTTGTTGTGGGTGATTTTAACTTCCCGTATATTGACTGGGACTGACTTAGTGCTTAGGGCACAGATCGGGCAGAGTTTGTAAGGAGCATCCAAAAGAGCTTCTTGAAACAGTATTTGGATGGTCCAATACGGCCCCTTTCCTAGTTGGACTCAGTATTGGGGAATGAGCCTCGCCAGATGGTCGACATCTCAGTAGAGGAGCAGCTCGGGAACAGTGATCACAATTCAGTAAGCTTTAAGGTACTGATGGATAAAGGTAGGTGTAGTTGTCAGGTGAAGGTGCTAAATTGGGGGAATGCTAATTACAACAATATTAGGCAGGAACTGAAAAATATAGATTGCAGGCAGATTTTGAGGGCAAATCAACATATGGTATGTGGTAGGCTTTCAAGTGTAAGTTGCTGGGAACTCAGGTCCGGCATGTTCCTGTAAGGATGAAAGATAAGTATGGCGAGTTTAGGGAACTTTGGATAACTTTGTGAGCCTAATCAGAAAGAAAAAGGGAGCATTTATTAAAGATAGGAGGCTGAGAACACACGAAGCACGGGTGGAATACGAGGAAAGTCGAAAGAAGCAAGGAGTAAGAAGGGCGAAAAGGGGTCATGCAAAGTCATTGGCCAACAGGATTAAGGAAAATCCCAAGGCTTTTTATACATATATAAAGAGCAAGAGGGTAGCCAGGGAGAAGGTTGGCCCACTCAAGGACAGAGAAGGGAATTTATGTGTGGAGCCAGAGGAAATAGGCGAGGTATTAAATGAGTACTTTGCATTAGTATTCCCCATAGAGAAGGACTTGGTGGATGATGAGTCTGGGGAAGGGTGTGTAGATAGTTTGGGTCATGTTGAGATCAAAAGGGAGGAGGTATTGGGGGTCTTGAAAAACATGAAGGTAGACAAATCCCCAGAGCCTGATGGGATATACCCCAGAATACTGAGAGAGGCAAGGGAGGAAATTGCTGGGACCTTGAGGGAAATCTTTGTATCCTCACTGGCTACAGGGGAGGTCCCAGAGGATTGGAGAATTGCCAATGTTGTTCCTTTGTTTAGGAAGGGTGGCGGGGATAATCCAACTAATTACAGGCCGGTGAGCCTTACATCAGTGGTAGGGAAATTATTGGAGAGGATTCTTCGAGACAGGATTTACTCCCACTTGGAAATTGGTGGGCATACTGGCGAGAGGCAACATGGTTTTGTGAAGGGGAGGTCGTGTCTTACTAACTTGGTTGAGTTGTTTGAGGAAGTGACGAAGATGATCAATGAGGGTAGGGCAGTGGATGTTGTCAACATGGACTTCAGTAAGACCTTTGACAAGGTCCCTCGTGGCAGACTAATACAGAAGGTAAAGTCGCACAGGATCAGAGGTGAGCTTGCAAGAAGGATAAAAAAACTGGCTCGGTCATAGAAGACAGAGGGTAGCAGTGGAAGGATGAGTTTCTGAATGTAGGGCTGTGACTAAGTGGCATTCCTCAGGGATCAGTGTTGGGACCTTTGCCATTTGTAATATATATAAATGATTTAGAGGAAAATGTAACTGGTCTGATTAGTAAGTTTGCCGGGGGCACAAAGGTTGATGGAATTGCAGATAGCAATGAGGAGTATTAAAGGATACAGCAGGATATAGATCAGTTGGTGACTTGGGCAGTGAGATGGCAGATGGCAGATTTGACGATACGAAGGTGGGTCACGTTGTGAACAGTGCGGAGGGCTGTTCTAGGTTACAAAGGGACATTGATAGAATGCAGAGCTGAGCTGAGAAGTGGCAGATGGAGTTTAACCCTGAAAAGTGTGAGGTGATTCATTTTGGAAGGTCAAACTTGAAAGCAGAATACAGGGTTAACAGAAAGATTCTTGGCAGTGTGGAGGAGCAGAGGGATCTTGGGGTTCATGTTCACAGTTCCCTGAAAGCTGCCACCCAAGTGGATAGAGTTGTTAAGAAGGCGTATGGTGTGTTAGCTTTCATAAATAGAGGGATTGAGTTTAAGAGCCATAAAGTTATGCTCCAGCTATACAAAAGCCTGGTTCGGCCACATCTGGAGTATTGTGTCCAGTTCTGGTCACCTCATTACAGGAAAGATGTGGAAGCATTAGAAAAGGTACAGAGGAGATTTACCAGGAGATTGCCTGGAATGGAGGGAAGGTCTTACGAGGAAAGGTTGAGAGAACTAGGGGTTTTCTCTTTAGAACGATGAAGGATGAGAGGTGACTTGATAGAGGTGTACAAAATGATCAGAGGTATAGATAGAGTAGACAGCCAGAAACTTTTTCCTAGGGTGGAGGTAGCTTTTACGAGGGGACATAGTTTTCAAGTGAAAGGAGGTAGATATCGGGGAGACGTCAGAGGTAGGTTCTTTACTCAGAGAGTGGTGGGGCGTGGAATGCGTTGCCGGAGAGGGTAGTGGAGTTGGCCTCATTAGGGGCATTTAAGCAGCTATTAGATAGGCATATGGATGATAGTATAAGGTAGCGGTGGTGGTTAGATAGACCTTAGGTTTAGTGTAAAAGTTCGGCACAACATCGTGGGCTGAAGGGCCTGTACTGTGCTGTACTGTTCTATGTTCTATGGAGTTTAATCTGGAAAAATGTGACGTAATGCAGTTTGGAAGGTCTAATCTAGATGGAAAATATACAGTAAATGGCAGAACTCTTAAGATTACTGATAGGCAGAGGGATCTGAGTGCACAGATACACAAGTGGCAATGCAGGTGGAGAAAGTCGTCAACAAGGCATACGGCATGCTTGCCTTCATCAGCCGGGGCATTGAGTTTAAAAATTGGCAGGTAATGTTGCAGCTTTGTAGAACCTTAGTCAGGCCGCATTTGGAATATTGTGTTCAATTCTGGTCGCCACACTACCAGAAGGATGTGGTAGCTTTGGAGAGGGTACAGAAAAGATTTACCAGGATGTTGCCTGGTATGGAGGGCATTAGCTCTGAGGAGAGGTTGGAGAAACTTGGGTTGTTCTCACTGGAATGACGGAGCGACCTGATAGAGGTCAACTAGATTATGAAAGGCTTGTGGACAGTCAGAAGCTTTTCCCCAGGGTGGAAGAGTCGGGGCCATAGGTTTAAGGTGCATGGGGCAAGGTTTAAAGGTGATGTACGAGGCAAGTTTTTTTTATACAGAGGTTGGCAGGTGCCTGGAACTCGCTGCCGGGGGACGTAGTGGAAGCAGATACGATAGTGACTTCTAAAGGGTGTTTTGATAAATACATGAATAAGATGGGAACAGAGTGATACGGTCCCCGGAAGGGTAAGGGGTTTTAGTTGTGACAGGCAGCATGTCGGTGCAGGCTTGGAGAGCCAAAGGGCTTGTTTCTGTGCTGTAATTTTCTTTGATCTTTGTTCTTTTGACTAGCGGGAAATGGTGGAGGAATGGATGTAGTTGAGCTGGGATGAATGTGAGGGACTGAATGGCTCTTTCTGTTGTAACGCTTCTAAGATTTTGTTTTCTATGATTTTGGCTTTAAGTAAATTTTGTTTGTTACATACATTGTTAAGTGCTTTGGAATGTTTTAGTTTACTAAAAGTACTCTGCTTTTATTCTTCAGGTTTTCGCTATGGTAGTGACATTATCCCGTTTTCACAAGTAGATCAAGAGCAGATGAAGTATAAAACAGATGGGAAATGCTTCAATGTTCTTGGATTTACCAAATCTGCACAGGTAAATGATGATTTAAAAAATGTGCTGTGTGTTCCTCAGAGTACATTTAATTTGAAAGATTTAATTAACGCTGCTGTGACTTTCAAGAAAATAGCTCACTGAAACCTTAGTCATGGAGTCATACAGGATAGGAACAGGCCCTTGGCCCACAAAGACGAAACTGTACTAATCCCATTTACCTGCATTTAGTCCATAATCTACAACGTCTTGGCATTTTAAGTGCTTGTCCAGATGCTTCTTAAATGTTGCGAGAATATCTGCCTCCACCACCCCGTCAGGCAGCACTTTCCATATTTCTACCAACCTCTTTGAGTGAAAACATTTTTCTTCAGATCTCTTATAAGCCACTTATTCCTCTCCTTGAATTTATGCCCTCTGGTTTTAGACACGTCTGTCATGGGGAAAAGACTCTCATGATCTACCCTATCTAGGCCTCTCACAACTTTGTTTACCTCAATCAGATTCCCCTCACTGGATGCAAAATGTTAACTCTGCTTTCTCGACCATCTTCCTATGTGTCAGATATGACTCCAACCACTGGATCGTTTGCCCCCTGATACCCATTGATTCCAGTTTTGCTAGGGCTCCTTGATGCCACACTCGGACGAATGCAGCTTTGATATGAAGGGCTGTCACTCTCACCTCACCTCTGGAATTCAGCTCTCTTGTCCATGTTTGAACCAAGGCAGGACCAATGAGGTCAGGAGCTGAGTGGCCCTGGCGGGACCCAAACTGGACGTCGCTGAGCAGGTTATTTCTGAGCAGCTGCTGCTTGATAGCACTGTTGATGACACCTTCCGTCATTTTACTGATGATCGAGAGGACACTGATGGGGCGGTAATTGGCCGGGTTGGATTTGTCCTGCTTTTTGTGTACAGGACTTATTTGGGCAATTTTCCACATTGTCAGGTAGATACCAGTGTTGTAACTGTACTGGAACAGCTTGGCTAAGGGAGCAGCAAGTTCTGGAGCACAAGTCTTCAGGACTATTGCCGGAATGTTGTCAGGGCCCATAGCCTTTGCAGTATCCAGTGCCTCCAGCCGTTTCTTGATATCACGTGGAGTGAATCGAATTGGCTGAAGACTGGTATCTGTAATGCTGGGGACCACTGGAGGAGTCCGAGATGGATCATCCACTCGGCACTTCTGGCTGAAGATTGCTGCGAATGCTTCAGCCTTAACTTTTGCACCGATGTGCTGGGCTCTTCCATTATTGAGCATGGGGATATTTGTGGAGCCTGCTCCTTTTTTTTTGAATTCCAATCTCACCATCTGCCGTGGTGGGATTCGAACCCGGGTCCCCAGAACATCAGCTGAGTTTCTGGATTAATAGTCTAGTGATAATACCACTAGACCATTGTTTTGTTTTGTTTTTGTTTCAGATTTCCAGCATTGGCATTTCTTTGTTTTAATTTATTCTAATCTCGATCATAGACAAAGTGATGGAAGAGGCTATTGATAGTTCTTTCAAGCAGAAACATGGTTAATGGAGAGACTATGATTCTATGAGACAGGAACGGCAGCTCAATAAAGTCAGTAATAGCCCAAAGACTGGGATAAATTCAGGGTAGGTGATGGCCTAGTGGTATTATCGCTAGACTATTAATCCAGAAACCCAGCTGATGTTCTGGGGACCCGACGGCAGATGGTGGGATTGGAATACAAAAAAAACAGCCTGGAACTAAGAATCGACTGATCACCGTGAAATCATTGCCGATTGTTGGAAAAACCCATCTGGTTCAGTAATCCCCTTCAGGGGAGAAAATCTGCCACCCTCACCAGGTCTGCCATATATGTGACTCCAGACCCACAGCAATGTGGTTGACTCTCAACTGCCCTCTGAAATGGCCTAGCAAGCTACTCGGATGTATCAAATGCTACAAAGACTCAAAAGAACTGGACTGGACGGATCACCTGGCATCGACTGAGGCACCGGAAAAGACAACGGCAGAACCAGCCCTGTCAACCATGCAAAGTCCTCCTCACTAACAACTGGGAGTTAGTGCCAAAATTGGGAGAGCTATCTCACAGACTAGTCAAGCTACAGCCTGACATAGTCATACTCACAGAATCGTACCTTACAAACAATGTCCCAGACACCACCGTCACCATCCCTGGATATGTCCTGTCTCACCGGCAAGACTGACCCAGCAAAGGGGGCGGCACAGTGGTTTACAGTCAGGAGGGTGTTGCTCTAGGAGTCCTCAACATTGACTCCGGACCCCATGAAGTCACATGGCTTCAAGTTAAACAGGGGCAAGGAAACCTCCTGCTGATTACCACATACCGTCCTCCCTCAGCTGATGAATCAGTACTCCTCCATGTTGACCAACACTTAGAGGAAGTACTGAGAATGGCAAGGGCACAAAATGTACTCTGGGTGGGGGATTTCAGTGTCCACCACCAAGAGTGGCTCGGCAGCAGTACTACTGATCGAGCTGGTCAGGTCCTAAAGGACATAGCTGCTAGACTGGGTCTGCGGCAGGTGGTGAGGGAACCAACAAGAGGGAAAAACATACTTGACCTCATCCTTACTAATCTACCAGCTGCAGTTGCATCTGTCCATGACAGTATCGGTAAGAGTGATCATCGCACAGTCCTTGTGGAGACGAAGTCCCACTTTCACATTGAGAACAACCTCCATCGTGTTATGTGGCACTATCACCGTGCTAAATGGGATAGAATTCGCACAGATCTAGCAACTCAAGACTGGGCATTCATGAGGCACTGTGGGCTGTCAACAGGAGCAGAATTCTACTCCAGCACAATCTGTAACGTTATGGCCCGGCATATCCCCCACTCAACCTTTACCAAAAGGCCAGGGGATCAACTCTGGTTCAATGAAGAGTGCAGGAGGGCATGCCAGGAGCAGCACCAGGTATACCTGAAGATGAGGTATCAACCTGGTGAAGCCACCAAACAGGACTACTTGCACGCCAAACAGCAAAAGCAGCAAGTGACAGACAGAGCTAAGCAATCCCACAACCAACGGATCAGATCTAAGCTCTGCAGTCCTGCCACATCCAGTCGTGAATGGTGGTGGACAATTAAACAACTCACTGGAGGAGGAGGCTCCACAAATATCCCCATCCTCAATGATGGAAGAGCCCAGCACATCGGTGCAAAAGATAAGACTAAAGCATTCGCAGCAATCTTCAGCCAGAAGTGCCGAGTGGATGATCCATCTCGGCCTCCTCCAGTGGTCCCCAGCATTACAGATACCAGTCTTCAGCCAATTCAGTTCACTCACGTGATATCAAGAAACGGCTGGAGATGCTGGATACTGCAAAGACTACCGGCCCTGACAACATTCCAGCAATAGGACTGAAGACTTGTGCTCCAGAACCTGCCACTCCCCTAACCAAGCTGTTCCAGTGCAATTACAACACTGGTATCTACCCAACAATGTGGAAAATTGCCCAAGTATGTCCTGTACACAAAAAGCAGGACAAATCCAACCTGGCCAATTATCGCCCCATCAGTCTACTCTCGGTCATCAGTAAAGTGATGGAAGGTGTCGTCAACAGTGCTATCAAGCAGCACCTGCTCAGCGACGCCCAGTTTCGGTCCCGCCAGGGCCACTCAGCTCCTGATCTCATTACAGCCTTGGTTCAAACATGGACAAAAGAGGTGAATTCCAGAGGGGAGGTGAGATGACAGCCCTTGATATCAAGGCTGCATTCGACCGAGTGTGGTATCAAGGAGCCCTAGCAAAACTGAAACCAGTGGGTATCGGGGGCAAACGCTCTGGTGGTTGGGGTCATACCTGACACATAGGAAGATGGCCATGGTTGTGGGTCAGTCATCCCAGCTTCAGGACATCTCTGCAGGAGTTCCTCAGGATAGTGTCCTAGGCCCAACCATCTTTAGCTGCTTCATCAGTGACCTTCCCTCCATCATAAGGTCAGAACTGGGGATGTTCGCCGATCATTGCATAATGTTCAGCACCATTCGTGACTCCTCAGATACTGAAGCAGTCCATGTTCACGTGCAACAAGATCTGGCCAATATCCAGGCTTGGGCTGACAAGTGGCAAGTGACATTCGCGCCGCACAAATGCCAGGCTATGACCATCACCAATAAGAGACAATCTAACCACCACCCCCTAGACATTCAGTGGTGTTATCATCACTGAATCCCCCCACTATCAACACCGTCGGGTTTACCGTTGACCAGAAACTCAACTGGTCTCACCACATTAACAGAGTGGCCACAAGAAGCTGGGCATACTGCGGCGAATAACTCATCTCCTGACTCCTCAAAGCCTGTCCACCATCTACAAGGCTCAAGTCAGGAGCGTGTTTGAATACTCCCCACTTGCCTGGATGAGTGCAGCCCCAACAACACTCAAGAAGCTTGACACCATCCAGGACAAAGCAGCCCGCTTGATTGGCACTACATCTACAAGCATTCAGTCCCTCCACCACCGACGCTCAGTAACAGCAGTGTGTACTATCTACAAGATGCACAGCAGAAATTCACCAAAAATCCTCAGACAGCACCTTTCAAACCCACAAACCCTTCCATCTGGAAGGACAAGGACACATATATGTGGGAACACCATCACCTCCAAGTTCCTCTCCAAGTCACTCACCATCCTGACTTGGAAATATATCACGTTCCTTCACTGTCGCTGGGTCAAAATCCTGGAATTCCCTCCCTAATAGCATTGTGGGTCAACCCACAGCAGGAGGACTGCAGTGGTTCAAAAAGGCAGCTCACCACCACCTTCTCAAGGGACAACTAGGGATGGGGAAGAAATGCTGCCCAGCCAGCAATGCCCACATCCCACAAATGAATAGAAAAAAAATCCAGCAGAGAAAGACTAAAAAGATAATAAGGAGGGAGAAAATAAACTATGAGGGCAAACTAGCAAGCAACATAAAAACTGAGAAGCACTTCTTTAAATATGTTAAAAGGAGGAGAGAAGTCAGTGATATAAGCCCCTTAGAAAATGAATCTGAGGAGACAGTTGTGGGAGACAAGGAAATATCAAGAGGACTTAAACGGATATTTGGCTTCAGTCTTTATAGTGGAATATATTTCAAACATTCCATTAAAACTAAGGGATTCTGGGGAGGAATTAAGTAGTATTACTATCACTAAAGAAGTAATATTAGACAAGCTAATGGGGCTAAAGGCAGACACGTCCCCTAGGCCTGATGGCTTGCATGCAAGGATCCTAAAAGAGGTAACATTGTAAAATCATTGGCAAACATCCCGACTTCTGACCTCATGACGGAGGGAAGGTCATTAATGAAGGTCATTGATGTTTGGGCCAAAGAACTCCCTGAGGAACTCTTGCAGAGATGTCCTGGAGCTGAAATGACTGACCTCCAAAAGCCACAACCATCTTTCTATGTGCCTGGTAAGATTCTAACCAGTGGAGAACTTTTCCCCGATACCCATTGATTCCAGTTTTGCTCAGGCTTTTTGATGCCACACTCAGTCAAAGGCAGTCTTGATTTCAAGGGCTGTCACTCTCATCTCACCTCTGGAATTCAGCTTTTTTCTCCATGTTTGGACCAAGGGAGTAATGAAGTCAAGAGGTTGGTGGCCCTTGCAGATCCCAAATTGGGTGTCGCTGAGCAGATGCTGCTTGATAGCATTGTTCATGACACCGTCTATCACATTACCAAAGATCGAGAGTAGACTGAATGGGGCACTAATTGACCTGATTTGTCCTGCTTTTTGTGTACAGGACATGCTTCCTGCTTTTGCTACCCTTTTCAGCCTCGTCCTGTTTGCTGCATTTGCAGCCTCCTCCACCCTACTGGCGACCTTACATCAATTTCCCTCCTATTGCAGCCTCCTCAACTCCTCCTTTCCTTCTGAACTTGTGGCCTTGCCCTCCCCCACTCCATTCAGTCTTTTCTTTGACTAATCCTCCTTTCAGCCACTCTTCTCCCGTACCACACCAGCCTGATAGATGTTGCCCAACCTGAGGCTTCAATTCCTGGTGGCAGATGACCACTTCACACCTATCCTTGCTGATAAAAGGCTTTTCACCAATCCCATCAGTGCGTTAAGGCTTCTCACCTCTGCTGCCAAAATTGCTGCTGAAAGGTCATTGTGAACCACTCTGTGATCAGAGTAGTTCCTCATTGATTCTGCCCATTCTAATAAGGGTTGACTGCTCTCTGATTTTTTGACCCTCCCATGATTTGATTTTGCATTGTGTTTTAGGGAGCACTGAGGTGAATTTGCTTTCTCCACCAGTGTATTTTGAGTTCTGGTCAGTCATTTTGATTATTTTCATGTCCTGAAGAGGATTTTGGCCATGTACTTTAATATCAATGTATGTGGCTTGGTTTTATAATGCTGTTATGAAGCACCTTGGGACATGAAAACTCTAACCCTTAAAGCTTTATAAATATAAGTTAACTTCAAGTTGATGTTACTTTCTTTTTAAATGAATTGCAGGTTTTGCAGCATTATTATGTTGGACGGCAGGTGCTGCAGGTGTTTGCTGCAAAGGATGATGAGGTGAGGCTTATGTTTGTCAGTGTTAATTTAACCATCACGAACTTAAATATGTTTTCCCAGGTGCCATTATTTTTGTTTCCTTCAGCGTTTCCATTTTGCTTAGTCTGATTATCCATGGAAAATTTATTGCTCAAATGTAAGAAAAAGGTTAAAATGTTGAAATATTGAGCCTTGCTTGGGGGGATGCTGTTTTGAGGCTGAATGAACTTGGAAATCTATCAGCCACTTGCTGTCAGTAAATGAATGTGCACAATAGAGAAATTTGGACCAAAGATGATAGGAATATGTTTGCTAAAGAGTTAGTTGAATGATGTGTGGATGAGTGTGGCATCAGACTGGTGGTAAAAATGTTAGGGAAGATGTGATGCCAACGGTTGCCATGGATAAACTTTGCCCTTTTTATTACTGATGCCTCTCTCTACAAAATTTCAGTTCTTTCTACTAACTGTACCCCGACATAAGACCATAAAACATAGAAGCACAATTTGGCCATTCAGCCCATTGAGTCTACTTCACTTTTCAATCATGGCTGATATGTTTCTAACCTCACTCTCCTACCTTCTCCCTGTAACACTTGAAACCCTTGCTGATCAGAACCAATCTAGCTCTGTCTTAAATGCAGTGACTTGGATTCCACAGCTCTCTGCAGCAATGAATTTCACAGATTAACTGTCCCCTGGTTGAAGAAATTCCTCTTCATTTCAATTCTAAAGGGGTCGTCCCTTCCACCTCCATGTCCGCTCTATCCAGGCCTCTCAGTTTTCAGTAAGTTTCCACCCATTTCCCCCCTCATCCTTCTAAACTCCATCGAATACAGATCCGGAGTCGCCAACCATTTTTCATATGAAGAGCTCTTCATTTCTGGGATTATTCTTGTAAACATCCTCTGGACCTCCTCCAATGCCAGCAAATCCTTACTTACATACCAGGCCCAAAACAACTCTCAGTATTCCAAATGCGGTTTGACCCGCGGATTTCAATTTTTTAAAATTCATTCATGGGATATGAGCATCACTGACTGACCCAGCAAGGTGACCTCAAGAAGGTAGTCGTGAGGCTCCTTGATAAAATAGAAACAAGTATTCAGATAGAATTTAGCAGTCACAAGGAAAATGATAGGTTGATCAGGAAGAGCCAGTGGGGATGTCTAAAGAGGTCATGTTTAGCTGGGGTTTCTTTGAAAACATCAATGAGAATAATGCTGTTGTTGGAATCTATGTGAACATTGAGTAAGCATTCAATACAGTACTGTACAACAGATGTCTCTGGCACTGAGCCTGACCCTGTGGCAAAGAATGGAAAGGGGGAGAATAGGAGAGCAATTGTAGTGAGGGATTCAATAGTAAGAGGCACAGACAGGCGGTTCTGTGGACGCGAATGAGATGAAAGGATGGTATGTTGCCTCCTGGGTGCCAGGGTCTGTGATGTCTCCGATCGTGTCTTCAAGATCCTTAAAGGGGAGGGTGAGCAACCAGCAGTCATGGTACACATCGGTACCAATGACATAGGTAGAAAAAGGACTGAGAATGTGAAAAACGAGTACGGGGAGTTAGGATGGAAGCTGAAGTCCAGGACAAACAGGGTAGTTATCTCTGGATTACTACCAGTGCCACGTGATAACGAGGTAAGAAATAGGGAGAGAGTGCAGCTAAACATGTGGCTACAGGGCTGGTGTAGGAGGGAGGGCTTCCATTATGTGGATAATTGGAGCACATTCTGGGGAAGGTGGGACCTGTACAATAAGGATGGGTGGCACCTGAACCGGAAGGGCACAAATATCCTGGGAGGGAGGTTTGCTAGAGCTGTACAGGATGGTTTAACCTAGTTTTGCAGGGGGTGGGGAACCGGATTTATAATTCAGAGGATGAGGTATTCGGCCTTCCAACAGACACAACAGGGAGTGAGGCGGTTTATAAAGAAATGCGGTCGATGGAGCATAATTGCGGACACCGAGATGGTTTGAGGTGTGTATACTTCAATGCTAGAAGTATCAGAAATAAAGCAGATGAACTTAGAGCATGGGTCGGTACTTGGAACTATGATGTTGTGGCCATTACAGAAATTTGGGTAACTCAGGGAGAGGAATGGTTGTTGGAAGTTCCAGGATTTAAATGCTTTAAAAGAAATAGGGAGGGTGGAAAAAGAGGTGGGGGAGTGGCATTGCTAGTCAGGGCGAGTATAGCAGCTACTGAAAGGCAGTTCGAGAATGATATGTCGACAGAGTCAGTTTGGGTTGAGGTCAGGAACAAGAAAGGAGCAGTCACTTTGTTGGGGGTTTTTTTACAGACCCCCTAACAGTTGCAGAGAAGTAGAGGAGCGGATTGGGAGGCATATACTGGAAAGGTGCAGAAGTCACAGAGTTGTAGTCATGGGTGACTTCAACTTTCCAAATATTGATTGGAAACATTTTAGTTGTAATGGTTTAGATGGAGCAGATTTTGTCCAGTGCGTTCAGGAAGGATTCCTGATACAGTATGTAGATAAACCAACACGAGGAGAGGCCACTTTGGATTTGGTGCTTGGCAACGAACCGGGCCAAGTGTTAGACCTGTTGGTAGGAGAGCATTTTGGCGGTAGCAATCATAACTCTGTTTCTTTCAGGATAGTCATGGATAAGGATAGGTACATATGGCAGGGTAAAGTTTACAATTGGGGGAAGGGTGATTACAATTCAGTTAGGCAAGAACTGGGTAACATAAATTGGGAACAGATGCTGTCAGGGAAGAGCACCACAGAAATGTGGGGATTGTTTAAGGAATGCATACTGCGTGTGCTCGATATGTTTGTCGCCAGCAGGCAGGGAAGATGCGGTCGAGTGAGGGAGCCATGGTTCTCGAGAGAGGTCGAACGACTGGTTAAGCGGAAGAAGGAGGCTTATGTAAGGTTTAGGAAAAGAGGAACGGAAAAGGCGCTAGAGGAATACAAGTTAGCCAAGAAGGAGCTGAAGAAAGGGCTTAGGAGAGCTATAAGAGGGCACGAGAAAACCTTGGCGGATAGGATCAAGGAAAACTCCAAGGCTTTTTACACATATGGGCAGAACAGAGAATGACCACAGAAAGGGTAGGGCTGATCAAGGATTGTAAAGGGAATTTGTGCACAGAGCCTAAAGAGATAGGAGAGGTCCTTAATGAATACTTTTCTTCAGTATTCACAACTGAGAGGGACCTTGTTGTAGAGGAGGACATTGTGAAACAGGCAGGTAGGCTAGAGGAGGTTGATATTAGTAAAGAAGATGTGCTAGGAATTCTGAGGAAGTTGAAGATAGATAAGTCCCCCGGGCCTGATGGGACTTATCCAAGGATTCTATGGGAAGCGAGGGACGAGATCGCAGGCGATGATCTTTTCGTCCTCACCGTCCACGGGTATAGTGCCGGAAGGTTGGAAGGGAACAGGGATAACCCCGGAAATTACAGGCCAGTTAGTCTTATGTCGGTGTGGGCAAATTATTGGAGAGGGCTCTGAGAGACAGGATTTATGATCACTTGGAAAGGCACAGTTTGATTCGTGATAGTCAGCATGGATTTGTGAGGGGTAAATCATGCCTCACAAACCCTATTGAATTCTTTGAAGAGGTGACCAAACACATGGATGAAGGTAGAGCAGTGGATGTGGTATACATGGATTTAAGTAAGGCGTTTGATAAGGTTCCCCATGGTAGGCTCATGCAGAAGGTAAGGAGGCATGGGATAGGGGGTAATGTGGCAGATTGGATTCAGAATTGGCTGACCCTTCGAAGACAAGGGGTGATAGTGGACAGAAAATATTCAACATGGTGCTCAGTTACAAGTGGTGTACCACAAGGATCTGTTCTGGGTCCTCTTCTATTTGTGATTTTTGTAAATGATTTGGATGAAGGAGTGGAAGGGTGGATTAGCAAGTTCGCGGGCAATACGAAGGTGGGTCCAGTTGTGGACAGTGTGGAGGGCTGTTCTCGGTTACAAAGGGACATTGATAGAATGCAGAGCTGGGCTGAGAAGCGGCAGATGGAGTTTAACCCTGAAAAGTGCAAGGTGATTCATTTTGGAAGGACAAACTTGAAAGCAGAATACAGGGTTAACGGAAAGATTCTTGGCAGTGGGAGGAGCAGAGGGATCTTGGGGTTCATGTTCACAGTTCCCTGAGAGCTGCCACCCAGGTTGATAGAGTTGTTAAGAAGCGGGTATGGTGTGTTAGCTTTCATTAATAGAGGGATCAAGTTCAAGAGCCGTGAAGTTATGCTCCATATGCCTATCTAATAGCCACTTAAATGCCCCTAATGAGGCCGACTCCACTACCCTCTCCGGCAATGCATTCCACGCCCCTACCACTCTCTGAGTAAAGAGCCTACCTCTGACGTCTCCCCGATAGCTACCTCCTTTCACTTTAAAACTATGTCCCCTCGTAAAAGCTACCTTCACCCTAGGAAAAAGTCTCTGGCTGTCTACTTATGCTCCAGCTATACAAAAGCTTGGTTCGGCTACATCTGGAGTATTGTGTCCAGTTCTGGTCACCTCATTACAGGAAAGATGTGGAAGCGTTAGAAAAGGTGCAGAGGAGGTTTACCAGGATGTTGCCTGGAATGGAGGGAAGGTCTTACGAGGAAGGATTGAGAGAGCTAGGGCTTTTCTCTGTAGAACGGTGAAGCATGAGAGGTGTCTTGATAGAGATGTACAAAATGATCAGAGGTATAGATAGAGTAGACAGCCAGAGACTTTTTCCTCGGGTGAAGGTAGCTTTTATGAGGGGACATAGTTTTAAAGTGAAAGGAGGTAGCTATTGGGGAGACATCAGAGGTAGCTTCTTTACTCAGAGAGTGGTAGGGGCGTGGAATGCATTGCCGGAGAGGGTCGTGGAGTTGGCCTCATTAGGGGCATTTAAGCGACTATTAGATAGGCATATGGATGATAGTATAAGGTAGCGGTGGAGGTTAGATAGACCTTAGGGTTAGGGTAAAAGTTCGGCACAACATCGTGGGCAGAAGGGCCTGTACTGTGCTGTACTGTTCTATGTTCTATGTGTGAGAAAAGTCATCGACCGTGAAATGAGAGGGACGGTAGCAATATGGATACAAAAATGGCTGAGTGATAGGAAACAACAGGATCAATGAATGTCTTTCTGGCTGGAAGATGGCTTGAAATGAAGTTTTCCGGGGTTAGAATTCCTACCTTTGCTTTTCTAGATATTCATTAATGACCTAAGTATTGACGTGCGATGGACAGTGTCAAAGTTTGCAGATGACATAAAACTTTGAAGGGAAACTGAAGAAGAGGTTGCTAGAGGATATTATTTAAGGTGAGAGGGGAAAGATTTAAAAAGGACCTGAGGGGTAACTTTTTCAAGTAGAGGGTGCTACATGTATGGAACGAGCTGCCAGAGGAAGTGGTGAAGGTGGGTACAATTAAAATGTTTAAAAGACATCTGGTTGGGTATATGAATAGGAAGGGTTTAGGGGGATTAGGGCCAAATGCTGACATATGGGACTAGGTCAGATTGGGATGCCTGGTCAGCACGGATGAGTAATATTTCTGTGTTGTATGAATCTGAGGAGGTGGCATAGCAGTGTTATCATTGAACTAGTAATCCAGAATCCCAGGTTAATGCCTGAGGACATGGGTTTGAATCCCACCATGGCAGATGGTGAAGTTTAAATTCAATAAAATTCTGGAATAAAAAGCTAGTCTGAAGGGGACGATGGAACTACTGTCAATTGTTGTAAAAACTCATCTGATTCAAACCCGTGTCCTCGGGCATTAAGAGATAACAAGGTGCAGAGCTGGATGAACACAGCAGGCTAAGCAGCATCATAGGAGCAAAAAGGCTTCCTAAGATGCTGCTTAGCCTGCTGTGTTCATCCAGCTCTGCACCTTGTTGTCTCGGATTCTCCAGCATCTGCAGTTCCTACTATCTCTCCTCAGGCATTAACCTGGGATTAATATCCTGTAGAGGTGGTATTACGCAATCCTTATCTCTTCACCAACTACAGACCCACAGTAATGTGGTTGAGTCTTGAGTGTACCTCTTGAAGACCTAGGGATGGGCAGTATATACTGGCATAGACAGTGACAGCTGCATCCCCTGAATGGATGTGATGAAAATATTCTAAAATGTGAGGAGGACAGAGTGTAGAACTTCAAAAAAACATAGACAAGTTGGCGGATTGAGTGGAAAAGTGACAAATGAATTTCAATACAGAGAAGTATGAGATGACATATTTTGGTAGGACAAAAATAGTAAACAATATAAAACAAGGGGTATAATTCAAAAGGGATGCTGAAGCAGAGGGACCTGTCTGTGTACTGTATGTGCACAGATCATTGAAAGTGGTAGAAGTGATCCATCACACTACTGACGTGTAACTTGTAAATGGTGGACAGTCTTTGAGGAGTCAGAGTTGAGTTACTAGCTACAGGGTTCCTAGCCTCTGACCTGCTGTTGTTGTCACTGTATTTATATGAATCATAGAATCCCTACAGTGTGGAAAGAGGCCATTTGGCCCATCGAGTCTGCACCAACTCTCCACAGAGCATCTGACCCAGATCAAGCCCCTCCACCCTATCCTCATAACATCCACATTTTGCCACATTAATCCACCTCGCCTGCACATCCGTAGACACTATTGACAATTCGGCACGGCCCATCCACCTAACCTGCACATCTTTGGACTTTGGGAAGAAACCGGAGCACCCAGGTGGAAAGCCACGCAGACGCCGGGAGTAGATGCAAACGCCAAACACACACTCACCAAGGCTGGAATCAAACCTGGGTCCCTGGTGCTGTAAGGCAGCAGTGCTAATCATTGAGTCACCGTGCCACACTGTGGAGAAAGACATGGAAGCTAGGGAACTCGGGGGAAATAAATAGTGATGTCTTGACAAGAGTCCATATTACAGAAGAGGAGGTACTGGAGGTCTTAACATGCATAAAGGTAGATAAATCCCTGAGACCTGACCAAGTAGTATAGATAGAATAGATAGCCAGAGACTTTTTCCTAGGGTGAAGGATAGCTATAACGAGGGGGCATAGTTTTAAAGTGAGTGAGGTTCTTTAATCAGAGAGTGGTAGGGGCGTGGAATGCATTGCCAGAGAGGGTAGTGGAGTCGGCCTCGTTAGGGGCATTTAAGCAACTATTAGATAGGCATATGGATGATAGTATAGGGTAGGGGTGGAGGTTAGATAGACCTTAGGCTTAGGGTAAAAGTTCGGCACAACATTGTGGGCCGAAGGGCCTGTACAGTGCTGTACATTTCTGTGTTCTATGTTCTAAGTGTATCTCAGGATATTGTGGGAAGCTAGGGAAGAAATTGCAGGGCCCCCAGCAGAAATATTTGTATCATCTAAGCCACAAGTGAGGTGCTGGAACACTGGAGAGTGGCTCATGTTGTGCCATTATTTAAGAAAGACTGCGAGGAAAAGTGAGCTTTCTACAGACTGGTGAGCCTGACGTCGGTGGTGGGTAAATTTTTGAAAGGATCCAGAGAGACAGAATCTATATGCATTTGGAAAGGCAAAGACTGATTAGGGATATTGAGCGTGGCTTTGCATGTGGGAAATCGCGTCTCACAAACTTGATTGAGTTTTTTGAAGAGGTGACCAAGAGGATAGAATAGGATAAGATAGAATAGCCTTTATTGTCATGTGCACTCAAATAAGTGCAGTAAAATGTTTGTAATGTTGCCTCTCGGCGCCGTCTTAGGTACAGGGTAACTTAAGTGTTGTTACAGAATTGAAATAGTAAAGATTAGTATGGGAACACCGAGTTTAAGAACTCCAGAATGATAATGAAAAGTATCTTTAAAGCACTCAATTTATAGTCCTTTTCCACTGAGTCGATGCCCACCGGGCTTCAGAACGTGAGGCCTTGCTGCCTCCATGCACTGGCCTCTGTCCTGTACTCGCCTCCAGCTCTCGCTGCCTCCCACCCCAGCCAGCCCACGCTCGCTGTGCTCCAACTCCAGGTACCACTCGTTTCCAGGAGTCGGCCAGTGCTTGCTGTGCTTCCTGCTCTGGGCTCTGGCCGTGACTCGCTTCTGGAACTCGCCTCCCAGGTTGGCCTGGGCTTAGTCTGCTGTTGGTCTGGGCTCTGGCTGCGACTCGCTTCTGGGACTTGTCTTCCAGGTAGGCCTGGGCTTAGTCTTCTCCTGCTCCGGGCTTCGGCCACGACTTGCTTCCTGCACTGGCCTGGTGTCCGACTCATCTCCTGCGCCGGGCTGGTCTGGGACTCCATTCTCCATTCCCTCCAGCTAGGGTAGTTCAAGAAGTTAAAAGTTGGGCGGGGGGTGCAGGAAGAAAAGCTGCAGCAAAGAGGGGGAGAAAAGAAAGAAGAAGGAAAAGGGACTGGCGAGCAGAGGAGCTCTTGCTGGAGCATCTTGCTCTGCTGCTATCTTGCTGTACAAGGTGAAAGAGCAGTAGACTTTGTCTACATGGACTTTAGCAAGGCTTTCAACAAGGTTCCGCATGGTAGACTGGTTAGTAAAGTTCGATCACATGGGGTCCAGGGAGAGCTAGCCAATTGGATACCAAATTGCCTTGATGGTGGGAGACAGAGGGCAATGGCAGAGAGTTGTTGTTCAGACTGGAGACCTGTGACCAGTGGTGTGCCGCGAGGTTCGGTGCTGGGTACATTGTTGTTCGTCATTTAGATAAACGATTTGGATGAGAATATAGGAGATATGGTTAGTAAGTTTGTGGATGATACTAGAATTGATGTGGAGCTGCCAGTGTTGGACTGGGGTGGACAAAGTCAGAAGTCACACGACTCCAGCTTGTAGTTCAATGGGTTTATTTGAAATACAAGCTTTCGGAACACTGCTGCTTATTCAGGTGAAGTCACTATAATCTGGTGTCATGTGACTTCTGACTTTGACACTAAAATTGGTGATATAGTGGACAGTGAAGAAGGTTATGTAAGGGTACATTGGCCCAGTTGCTCAAGATCCCAATAGGGAGATGAGTGGCAGATGGAGTTTAATTTACATAAATGCAAGATCTTGCATTTTGGGAAGACAAACCAGGGCAGGGCTTACACAGTTAATGGTAGGGCTCTAGGTGTTGTTATTGACCAGAGAGACCTAAGGGTGCAGATACATAGCTCCTTGAAAGTGGTGTCACAGACGGGGTGGTGAAGAAGGCATTTGACATGCTTGCCTTTATTGGTC